GTGTCCAAACCTATCTCACTAGTTAGCATACAAGCTAAGCTTCGTGTGGGCATTAGAATCACTCCAATCAGATGTTATATGTGAAAACAGTGCATACCAAAAGTTCATCATTTTTGTTATCAAAATGACAGCAGAAAATTGGATAAGCCCGCCGCAGCGCATGGTGTCACATGCCGTGGCATACATACTACACGTCGTAGCACACGGACTAAATCTCAGCTTAATTTTGTGATAAAAATGCATGCATTCGAAATGGGGTTATGTCCACTACGTGTTAGACTAATATACATATTGCTTCCGTTGTGTTTTTCCTTGATTGTATTGTGATTTTGGATGGATGTTAAAAATGAGTCTTAGGCCCAAGCTTTTTCAAACAAAACATTTATTTGTAGACTATTGTGAGTGATGTGGTAACACCATAATATTCTCTTATATTGAGGGATATATGAGGAGGTTACACCAAGGCCATTCAATGTGATCAAAACTTGCGTGGAATCAAAAACATATCATCACACATGAAATTACAAGTGCTAATGTATAAACTTATCTTATGCATATTCACGTGTGGAACTTAGCACAGCTCAAACAAGTTCTTGCATGATCAAGAGATATGAATTTATGAATTAATGATTATACACGTGAACAATTTTAGCTTGGTTTGAGAGGTTTTAAGACTCAACAAAAATAATGTGTGATTGTTTAGCAAGTGATAAATCACGTATGGTACCATCAGTCTCACGTGTGGTTTTGTACTTAGTTATATTTCAATAAAGCTCAGGTGCTAAAACTTGTGTGAACACTAAAACCTTCTACACATGGTGTTGCATGTAGAGACAAAGCATAAAGCAACATACCATAAAAGTGCTTAATCATACATAAAGCATTTCTTCACACTCACATGATCTAACAGCCAGTGTGCCTAACATGCAAGAACTCATGAATGACATACAAAATTATGCGTGATTCTGCCTCTTCACTATGCAAACATTTTCTATGAAAAATCATATGCAAGAGGGCCAAAGTTTGCAAGCTTTAACATACTTAGATTGTAACCTCTTCCTATATCCACTCAATATAGAAGAGGATTACGATGTTACCATTATCTCACATCATTCATGATAATCAAATTTCATTTTAAAAGCTTCAGCCGAAGACTTGTTTTACAAAATTGATCAGTTCACAGCACAATCAAAGAAAAACACAGTATAAGTAAATCATACACACCTCAATTATATAGTGGACATAACCTACCAGCATTCTTATTCCAATTGCATGCATTTCAACACAAAATAAAATAAAAACTTGGTACGTGTACTGCTGCGGGTGATCAGTATGCCATAACATATGACACAGAGCCACACGCTTGCCTTGTCTGTGTCATGCACTATGGCATGTGTCACCATGCGCCACGACGTGCTTGTCTGAATTTCTACTGTCATTTTGACAGCAAAAATAATGAACTTCTGGCATGCGCCAATTTCTCATATGACATTCGATTGGAGTGATTCAAGTGCCTACACGAAGCTTAGCTTGTATACTAACTAATGAAATAGGTTTGGACACAATCTAACAGTCCAATCAAATTTTGGACACCGGGTGCAAAAAGTCACTTTTTCTGAAAATTTTATGCACCCAAGCACCCAAATTGATCCCTTACTCTCATTAGATCACACTAGGCCTTCAATCAAGTTCAAAAGGATCTAATACACTTGATTGACCATAATTAATCACAATCATACTCATATATTGAAATTTGACCCTTCTATGGCCAATTTTCACAATTCACTAACTTAACATACTATGCCATTTCTTGGCATAACTTAACCCACTTGGCTATTTCTCAACTCATACATATTCAATCATATTCACAATACAATCTTAGCCCCCAAATTACTCATTTCATCATAATTTATCCCTTAGCTTAAGATTCACCAACACAGACAACTATTGCAACACAAACATGCTCAAATCAAAGCCCCTTTATCTTAAACAACACATATATACATAATCGAGCTTGATTTCACAAAAACTCAGTTCAATACTTGCATATAACCCTATGGAAACTCATATAAACTTATATATATATAGTCTCAATTCAATTCATTACACAACCTTATAGTACATGGCTTCTCAACTCAAGTTGGTCCAGACTCTCTTCCCTTAGCCTAATCACTTCTCAGTCTTATAAACATGTAACCACGGGGGTGAGATAAAAATCTCAGTAACAGAATAACTTACTCCTATTGACTATTACATGCAACAATATGAAAGTAAACATAATATACCATTAAAGCCTCGTAAAGTAGTATTTACATCACATATCTCATTTCATTTCTAACTTTTCATCAATCCCAATGGATTCCATGTTATCTTAAGATATTTCATCATATTGCATAATATACTAGCATGATCTCTACCAATTAAACCTCCAAATCACCTCGACACGAAACCATATGCTCATCTCAGACCAATATACACTCTCATTAGTCCTGAGCTTACTTACAGTGGTAGAATCACCCGACCAAAGATATTCTAACATACCATACAGACTATGGTTTCCCCCAATACACATAATGAGGTGTCGTTGACTCCAACACCATATCACAAGGATACTAAAGAGTCTCTCATCTCTAAAACTATACGTTAATAGGTATTAAGGAGATCTTCTCCAACACCACACCTTTTAAGGCACTAAGAAAAATTGTTTCCAACATTGCACCCTAACAGGGTACCAAGGAAACCTTGTCATATAGTCTTTATTATCTCCCACACTCAGGTGAACTCTCACCCCTATAATCATGCTTTCCCAAACCATTTAAGGTTCTTGTTTACTATTATCACACTTTCTTGCACATTATATACAAAGGATATTTTTCATTTCAAAGCACACATTTCAATGCTCATTTAAACTAAAAGTATTTTCACACATAACAATCACTCAATGCTATAAAACATACTTAATTTGAAACCATTTCATGCATTATATAGCATACTAACATACAGTTACAATAAACAGTCAAACAAAGGAAGTTATTCAGTTACCTTAGCCCTTCTGTCACTAGAAAGGTTACCCATGAATTTTTACTATCACACAAGCTTATCTCAAGCTTCCTTTCTCTACTCACGCATCCAATATGCCAATCTGAACATATTTGGCACATTTTAGTCATTTGGTCCATTTTGACCAAAAACTCATTTTTACCACTTAGGGCTATATTCATCTGTAAACTCTTTTCCATTTATCCATTCTAATTCCATGACTACCCAATTACTACTTTACATCCCCTTAATCGATCTTATTTCTCTCAGATCATATTTTACCCTAACTTTCTCTCTCTAAAGGCTAAAATTGAGCTTATGGGTTCAAAGCTCTATCGTTCAACTTTAAACCAGTCATAAAGCTCTAATTTAACTTCTGAGAACCTTTTTACACTACTATAAAATAATTGATATATGATACCATTAAAAATGACGATTTTAAGAAAATTCATCATTTAAAATAAAGGCAGGTGATGGTTGTAAAATAAATGATGGGTGTTTTAAACACCCATCATTTATCTCATCAGCATATACGACGGGTGCTTTAACACCCGTCATATAATGCTTCAAATTCTGCCTCTGAAAAAAATTAAAAATTAATATTAACATAAATGATGGTCTTTCTAAACACATGTCATTTATATTGATGACATTATATGATGAGTGTTTTAACACCCATATATAATGTCTAAGTTTCTAAAATAAAGAAAAAAGAGACTTTATATGACGGGCATTTCAAATGCCGGTCATATAAAGTCATCACAACATATGACAGGCATTTCATATAAAGAGGAATAAATAGGCATTTAAATGCCCATCATTTATTCTTGTTTAAAAACTTTTCAGTTCCTTCTATTTCATATTCTCTCTCGCGTGCCCGATGAACTCTCGTCCCTTCTCTTCTCTACTTTCACACGAAATCACAAGTAAACCCATAAAGTGACTTCATTTCCATAGTCAACCATCAACCCCCACCTCTATTGTGTTTTTGTCATTGTCCTCGCTGTCATTCATCGTGCCCTGACTTTGCCATTGCTTTTCAACCCATTTTCTTCCAAGGTACATTTTTTTGTGTTTTCTAGCGTTTCTTTCAATATCCTTTGGTTTTTGGTTGTGAGAATGATTTATTCATTGTTTTGTAGAGTTTTATTGTTTGAATTTACGTAGTTAAATTTATATGTTTTCGTGTTTATAATGATTTATTACGTAGTTTTATTGTTGCTTGATTTTGGTAATGTAGGTTGTCGAAATTGACAATATATGATGTGTTCTTAGCTTGAGGATGCTAATGGAGGTTATGGGTAGCCTCAGAATAATTATGAGGATGAAAATGAGTGATCGAAATGTATATTCATGATCATTGTAATTTTTTAATTTTGAATGAATTTTTGAGTAATTTATTTTTTTAAATTATATGCCTTATTTGATTTGGATAGTTTTATCGTTAGAAAATTCATATTGAAATGTACTAGTATACCAAATTTCATTACAATTGGGGTTGATTTGAGTGACCAAAGTTGACGCGCGGTTTCTCTAAAAATTATAACTATTTTGTTGAGATTTTGACAATTGCTATAATGAATGATATTATCTTGGTATGAGATTACTACTGTAAGGTATGAGTAACATTAGAATGATAAATGAGACAAAAATCAATGATTAGAATTGATATTTATAGTATTTTTCTTTTTTTTTTGTGATTTTTCAATGATTTTTTTTAAAAAATTGTGTATGGTTGAAAATATCATTTTGTTGGATTTTGTTGTTGTTGAGATTGGGTATGATTGAATTTGGCTTATTGATATAAGATGTTAGGTTTAAAAACTCAGTTTGAGCTTGGAAAATACTTGTTTTTATGACGTTATACTGTTGAATTTTTTTTACATGTAGAGTAGTCAATTACTTTTTTAATCAATTTACCATTCATTTCTTCTTCATATCTTTTTTATTTTTGTAGGTAAATGGCTTCTCAAAAAAGTATTGATCCTAGTGGACCTAGCAATACTGATCCTAGCATTGACATAAATGACCAACAAATTCAACAAGAAGCAAATCAAATAATGAGGGGATTGACATTGATGAGCGAGGTGAATAAGAAAAGGGGTACTGGACAAAAATATGAGCTTCAATGGAATTACAAAGGTCAACTTATTAAGACTAATAGAAATAAATTTATCAGCTACATAGGAGTTGTGCTAAAGGCAAATGTGCCCATTACAATCAAGAGTTGGAACGATGTTAGTCCAATAACAAAGAATTATATTTGAAAGCAAGTAGAGGTAAAATACTTTGCTCATGATCATTATAATTAATTTTAATTACGTGACTACAAATCTAATTAATTTCTTTGTTTTACAGTCACCATTCGTAATTAATGCTAGTCGAATGAAATTTGTCATTCAATAAGCTGGAAAAGCAATGCAGACATTTCGGTATTTTGTTGGAATGAAATACATTAAAAAACTAGCCAGAAACATTAGTACTGAAGTTCCTAAATTAATAAGGCTGTTAGTCTCACAAGAACAAAGGGATGAATTTATTGCCCAACATTTCGAGGGGCAATTCCAAATAAGAACTATAATTTTTTATTATCAATATATAGATATTTTTTTGATCTAATTCTATGTGTTTGGCATAGGAATTGAGCAACCAAAAGAAAGAGTTGCATGAGAAAGATATGTACCCTTATAAGAAAGGGCGCATAGAATATGCAGGAATTGAGTAGCAAATGGTATGTTAATATTTAAGTCATATAATTTTAGTTTATTTTATTGATATGTGCACTATTAATATTCAACTTTATTTAAATGAATAGATCGAGTGAGAGGGTTCAGGAGCAAGTTTTGTTTCACGTCATAAACTCTTCAGAGAAACTCGAACCAATAAAGAAGGAAGTATTGTTGACGAACGTGTTTAGGAACTTTCTAACAAATATTATTTTATTATTATCATTTTTTCTTATAATCAATTAATAAACTTAACTTTCTCGCTATATGTTGCACAGGTTGAGATAGAGAAAAGTGGCCTAGCTGATGATGGAGATGTCTTAGACAAGGCACTAGGTAATCCTGAACACTTTGGTCAGGTTAGGGGTTATGGCTTTGGTGTCACAAAAAACAATATTTGGGACAAAAAAAAAGATTAAGTCAATAGAGGACGTGGGCGCAAGGGCTGAGATTGTTATACTAAAAGAGGACCTAGCTAGGCAACGAGAATTGATTGATACCTTACTAAAGGACAAGGAGAGGTGGGAGGGGGAGTTTCATATTAGTCCTAGCGGGAAAGGTAGTTTCAGTGTAACGCAGCCTGTTAAAAACTCCCTGAGGTAAAATAATACTTATTTATTTCACTTATGTTTCACAATTTTTATTTTCCATAGCATTAATATAGTATATTACTCATTAATATAGGGCAAGAATATATGTGAGTTGTTGGCACATAGCCTGAATCGTCACGTGGTTGCTATTGGTCGAGTCTTCAATATTCCTGGAGACACATTACATAATATGCCATTCCTTACATCCTATGTACGAGTTGCTATTGATGTGCCTAAAGATCTCAACTATCTATTACTTATTCCCACCGAGGATGCAGGGATTGTAGGAGAGGCGATGGGTAGGTTTGTTGGATGGCAAGCTACCAATGTTAAGATGCCAAGTCCAAAAAAAAAAGCTAACAAAGATGCATAATCCAAGAAAAAGATTGTGCTCTGATCTAGGCTTTCCTCAAAAATTGTCTCGCATGTAGCAATGCTAGAACAAGTGCCTCAATTGTCAAGCCAGCATTGAAATTTACTTCAGGTGTATGTAATGATTCATAGGTCTAATCCTTCGATCTTGCAAATCCTATTCGAGGTAGGAATATACGGTGCACCATGATATGATATGCTTTCGCTCGATATTATAGTTGAAGTACTGCAACATAAGATGACCAGCCTCACTATTCTCAGCTTTTATATATGGTAAATTATCTTTCATATATGAATAGTTAGTATTTTAAATATATACTAATCCATTTGATATATTAATGGTAGGTGCTTGCATGAAAAATTTATTGTCCCTTTTGGCTTATAAACGAAGTTCGTTTTTGTTAGTCCCCATGAGGTTGGTGCACATGCTTTAATTAAAAAGGACAAGATTTTAGATCAAGCCAAGCAATTAAGTAAACATTTTAAAGCAAGGGCTCAAAAAGGGACATTATTCTTAATACCATATTGCCAAGGGTAACCTACTTCTTACTTATATTAATGGACTTGTTAAGATTAATTTAGTCAATTAATTATAATTTTATAACACTTGTTAATGCTATTAGGGATCAATGGATGTTGATTGGCACTGAACCATATGGTAGCACTCCAAGAATATATTATCTTGATTCTCTTGGTGGAAAACCAAAGAATAGACAAATTTTATTGGAGTTGATTAATATGTAAGTGCAAAAAATAAGTATTTTATATATTTATTTGTTTATTTTTATATTGACATATTTTTTCTTTTTTTATTAGGGCAATTATGTTGTACTACACAAACACTAAACAAATAATTCCAAGGTCATTTATAAATTTCGATGCAGCCTATACTTGGAATATAATAAAGGTAATTAATATTATTTTTTAATTTAAATATTCATAATTTTTTAATGCATTAATATGTACTCGTTAGTTCTTTAATTTGTAGTGCCCAAGACAAATGAAAAATAACTTGGATTGTGGCTTTTGTATTATGAGGTTTATGAAAGACATCATTATCCATAATGAGAGCACAATTCCTATGATGGTATGCCAACAATTAAGTTTCACTTTATAATTGCTAATGAATTTAATTTATTAAAATAAATTTATGGTGGATAATTTATGTTTTATAGTACTATGAGGATTCCTACATTGAAGAATTTGGGCATGCACAAATAAATGAGGTAATTGAAGAGTGATGTCAGTACATATTCCAAATGTGGTCATTACACAAAGATGAAAATTAATAGATTTAGCGCAAGTAGGATTACTGTTTATAATTTTACTAGTTTTCGCTCATTATTTGATATTAGTTAGTAAATTACTTCCTTTGAAAAAATTCTATACATTAATTACTTAATAGATTAGAATAAGAGATTAATTTTTAATTCATTTTTTATTGATTATAATTCAATTTCAATTGATATTCATGTATAAAAATGTTGGAATTGCTGTCTAGTTATTATTTGTATAGCTGTTACAAGGAAGTTGCTATAAATAACATACCGTTATTTAAAAGAAAAACCATAGAATATATGACGGGCAAATATTTGCCATCATTTATTGTGACCAAAAATGATGGGCAAATATTTGCCCGTCATTTATTGTAACCAAAAAATATATGATGGGAAAATATTTACCCGTCATTTATTGTCTGGTAGAATAAATGACGGGCAAATATTTGCTTATCATTTATGGTAAGAATAAATAATGGATATTTTAAACACCTGTCATTTATTCTTACAGAAGATGCAAAAAAATATGTTTTAAATGATAGGTTATTTAACTGTTATTTATACAAAGGAATAAAGGATAGGTAAATAACCATCATTTATTTAGGGGGACTTTAAATGTCAGGGTCATAAATGACGGTTCATTTATAAGTAAAAAAAACCATCATTTATGTCATTTTTTGTAGTAGTGTTATTACTATTGGGTAAGAATCAAACCCCTCAAATTCCACCGATTTAATTTCCTCATAACTCATTTTCAGATAAATGTAGAATGGAAGGTAAGAGTTATATGTAACTTACCTGGCAAGTTACTGATCCAAGTCACCTTCCACCGCTCCAAAATGACTTAACCTAGCTCCTCAACCCTTCTCCTCTCTTTGTCTCGTGTGTTTCTCAAATTCTCTTCTTTGAAATTTCTGAAATTTCACGACTTATGAAAGCAAATTCTGGTCCATGCGCCGTGGCACATGCAGCACAAGCCACGGTGTGTGGCACAGTGAGATTTATTCTCACCACGCACACTTGCTTCAACCTAAAACGCACTCCTATCACCCATATCTATTCACACAACACATAAACAAGTCAAAATGCCAACTAATCATCCGAATCTCTAATCCCACTTTAATTTCTACTTCACCCTCGATTAACCTCTATACTTAGGATTAAGAAATTCAGGATGTTACATAGATGAGTCTTAATACATATAAAAGAGACATATGATACATTTATTTAATGATTAAAAAAGTGCTTAAACTCTCTAAGTTTTCATATTGAATCTAAGAGAATTTAAAAATTTCTCATCCTAAACTTCTTCACCTTCTCTTGATTCTTCATGCTCTTGAGGTTTTGTCTTCATCCATGATTTTTTATATCTGCACATATAACAAATATCTCTTCTCTTAATTTTGTAATCATCAAAACGCATGATCCAACACTCATAACACATTATCAACTTCAATTTCTAGCATCTTAATTATTGGGAGAAATTTCTAGCATCATAATTTCTAGCATCTTCTTATTTCTAACATAAATCTAGAGTATTGAAAACAATGAAAAGTGATAAATAAGAAGATCAATACTAAATATTCAATTAAAATGATGAAATAAGATCATATTGAAAATAATTTTAAAAAACTTTATTTCCAACCAAATTTTGTAATCCTTTTTAAAATATATAAGTGATGATTCTTAATTATAATTAGAGTTAATACAACAACATCCCTTATGTTTTGCTTAAAAGAAAATAAATACTTGTGCACTTCTCTTTCTCTCTCACTCACAGTATATTTGGTAATATCATTCTTTCCCTTATCTCATTTAATCTCAAATTTTAATTAACTTAATTCATCCCTTCTTGACCAGATTTACATCATTAATTAATGAATCGATACATCATTGTTGTACTAGAGAGAGTGTTTAGTATAGAAAATGCCACCTCTCTAATTGAAAAGAAAAACGAGAGATGGCATCTCCTCCAGCAGGAAATCGCACCTCTCTCCTATCTTAATTTTCTAAATATATCAAGAGGTGGCATTTCTTTCTAAAGGAAATGCCAGAAAGAAATGCCACCTTTGTTGCTTGAATTTACTCTTTTTTTGTTAAAAAAAAGGATAGAGATGGCATTTTTTCTTGAAGAAAATGTCATCTTTGTTCATTTAAATCAACAAACATGTCATTTTCTTTAGGAAGAAACTCCACTTCTTGATATGTATTATTTAAAAAAAATAAATAGAGGTGATGTTTCTTTCTAAAGGAAACACCACCTTTTTGATTTGTTTTTTTTTTAATTAACAAATGTGGCATTTCCTTTACTAAAAAGTGGCAACTCTTATTTTATTTTTTTTAAAATATTTTTATCAAATTTCATGCACCTAAATTTTTAACATACAAAAAATCCAGCTATACACATAAAGGTACAAAACATACGTATTATCTAATACAACAAAAAAGTTTACAACTATATTTATATATCTTGTTCCCCAAGTAATCAACACATCCAATGATAAGTTCCAATAGTTTTACCAACAATGACAATGTATATAGTGAACCTTATCTTGTCTTATTTGTAATCTTACAAGACAATTCAATTCAATTCAAATATGCAATTCAATTTCCTCCCTAATTTTACAACTAAATTACAGTTTATTTTGAACACATACCAAGCATCCAATGCTTTTCCTCCAAAACAAAGGATGAACACTCTTCAATTAGATCATAAATTTGCTCATCATTGTATTCCATGCACTTTGTGTTCCCATAGAACTATAAAATAATAAATAAGATAGGATGTCGAAAAACAACTAATAATTGTCCTAACCAAATAAAATTAAATGAAATGAAATTTTCATACCTTATAAGGATAAAAGTTTGATCAAGAGTGACCATATCCTTCATTAATTTCATAATATAATACCCATAATCCTCGTTATTTGATTGGAAAAAGGCATTAAAAAGTGTATATTTAAAAACTTAAAGCGCATCCGAGGGTCCCAAACCTAAATCGAGTGCTACTAGCATTGAATAAGACTTGAACCAAGTCTAATTGATCAATTATAATGCCTTTCTCCTTGGCATTACTAACTCATACACACATACCACACTAAGGTAATCAGAGCACCTCATGTGTTTGATCCACAAGTTAACTACGAGTTATTAAATTATAGGAATTTATTTAGAAAATAGTGATCCTAAAGTTTAGTAACAAACTCTCAAAGCTATATATATATATATATATATTATGCACAATGGAAGCATCCAAGAATGCATAATTACTATACTTACAAATGATAGCAAAATAATAATCTTCACCTAAATAGGACTATGTGATGCTGCTTGTATCACATGCGCCACGGCATGTGGTATAGAATCACAAACTCTTATGCTGTGTCATGCACCACAGCTCATGTATTAGATTTTGCTATCAAAACAACTTTGCTGATACAAACTTTCATAGTGCACCATTTTCACATCTGATGTCCAATTAAGGTGATTCAAGCGCCCACGCACTTATTTCAAAATCTAACTAATGACATAGCTTTTATCTCAATATGATTTCGCATCTAGAAATTGGACACTTGGATGCAAAATGACCACTTTATGTCATTTTTCCTTACCTGAGCATCCTAGAATCAAATCATATGTCATCAGCCATT